CGCCGTCATCGACGAGATCGCGGCCGGGCGGCGCGGCTGGCGCGACGGCTTCGACGACATCAAGGCACGGTACTTCGGGACTCCGCACAGCCCGGCCCAGCGGCCGGGACAGGCCGGGGAGGAGGGGGACGAGATTTGTCGCTACATCGATCGCAGCTTCGCCTTTTGGAAGGAGAAGGAGGCCGAGATCTTCAGCCTGGAGGAGTGATGCCGAGGGGCTCCGGAGGCCGCGGGCTGCAATAAAAACCTTCTCCGTTCTCTCCCTGCTGAGCGAGGCTTTGCGGGGCGGTGAAGAGAGCTGCTAAGCCGGGCGGGCCGCCTCGGCAGCCCAGCTCCCCTCTCCCCGGGCGGGTGTTTCAGGCCTCGGTTGCCGCCGCGTGTTTACGGCTGAGATAAAGACCTATATTTATAGCGGCACCGGCAGTGCGAGCCGGAGGAGCGAGAGGGGCATGGCGGGGACCCCCTGCTGCCGATGGGGTGCAGGGAGGGTGCTGTGGGAGCTCGTCCCTCCAGGCTCGGTGCCCAGCCGACCCCTTCGCGAGGGGGAGGCTTTCCTAAAGGCAGCGACCGAGGATGGGCGGCGGCGAGAGCTCTGCCCGTGCGGTGCCTTTAAGAGCAGGGAGCAGTGTCCAGGTGCCGCCTAAAAATAGCGGGTGCCCCTCGTCCCGGCTGATCCCGCGTCATGTGGCGTGTCCCTGCCCAGCGCGGGGACCGCGGTCCCTTCCTTCCCGGGGAGCACTGCTGAGAGCAGCAGCGACCGCGCCGAGAGGGCTCAAATCACCCCGAGAATCATCCCCAAAAAGCCGGTCGCCGCCCCGGCAGGGCAGCTGCGGCGTGGTGAGGAGAAAACGCTGCCAGCTGTGGGAGGGGGGTGTGGGCAGCGCTTGTGCAGCCGCCGCCGTCCGTGACTCGGGCGCTGGGAAGGCGGGAGGATGTCGCGGCAGGGAGACGGGGAGACAGCGTCGCCTTTTCCTAGCAGGGACACCCTCGCCTCCCGCTGCTCGGGCACTGCCCGCCTGCCAGGCCCCACGGCCATCGCCGGCACCATGGTGAGGAACATGGACGACTTTGACTTCTGCCTGCCTTCGCACGCCCAGGGCGTGCTGGAGGGGCTGCAGCAGTTCCGCACCAACCCCAAACTGGCCGACGTGACGCTGGTGGCGGGCGGGCGGGAGTTTCCCTGCCACCGAGGCGTCCTGGCCCTCTGCAGCCACTACTTCTACGCCATGTTCTCGGGTGACTTTGCTGAGAGCATCGCAGCGCGGGTGGAGCTGAAGGAAGTAGACCCCAGTGCGCTGGAGATGCTGCTCGATTTTGCCTACACGGGAAAGGTCACCATCAACCAGGGCAACGTGGAGGGGCTGATGAGGACCTCCAGCCAGCTCCACTTCCCTGCCATCCAGAAGGTCTGCAGCCGCTACCTCCGGCAGCAGATGGATGCCACCAACTGCCTAGGTATCTGTGAGTTTGGTGAGAGCCACGGCTGCCCTGAGGTCTCCTCCAAGGCCTGGTCTTTCTTGCAGGAGAACTTTGAAGCCGTCTCTCTTCAGGAGGAGTTCCTGCAGCTCTCCAAGGAGAGGCTGGCTGTCTACCTCTCCAATGACCAGCTGCAGGTGCAGGAGGAGCGGAGCCTGGTTGAGGCTGTACTGCGCTGGGTACGCCACGACCCGGGATCCCGAGCCCAGTTCCTGCCGGAGCTGCTGGAGCTGACCCACCTTGTCTCGCTGCCTGACCAGTACCTGCAGAACCTCCTTGCCACTGAGCCTCTCGTTCGTGACTCAGATGCCAGCAAGGCCCTCGTCGCCCGATCCCGCACCATGGTGGGTACCCCCTTCCCCTAAATGCCACTTCCTGAGCCAGGAAGGAGGAGCCTGACGGTTCTGTCCTGGCCTCTTCATCAGGGGCAGAGTGGCACCAGTGCCCTGGAGAATCCCCCCACCCCACCACAGAAGCTGGAGGAGGTGCTGGTGGTGGTTGGTGGCCATGTGCTGGAGGATGGTGAGGATGAGGAGAGGGGGCTGGAAATGCCAGCTGCCACCAGGAACTTTGCCTTCTACAACCCCAAAAGCAGTAAGTGCCCCCCACTTCCTCCAGCTCCCTCCATCATAATTGACCATCTGTCTACCCTGAAGACACCTCTTGCCAAACTAGTGTCAGTTTAGAGAGACACTGGTTGGGTTGGGATGGGCTTGAAACAGGGGTGGCTTAAAAGGTGCCATCGCTGGCTGTGGGGTTCATTGCTTGGCTCTGCTGGGTTTCAGGGCGATGGATGGCTCTGCCCGACTTCCCTGATTACAACAAATGGGGCTTTTCCCTGGTGGCTCTGAACAACGATGTGTACGTCACAGGTCAGTGCCAGGGCTGCTGGTGCAGGGTGGGGGCTTCAAGGAGCAGGGATGGAGGACAGGGACAATGACATGAGCATGAGGCACTGGTGTGGGGCCAGAGGCTCCTCTCTGAGCAAAATCCTCTCCTTACTCTCTGCTTGGGCAAATCTGGCCACGGGCAAGGAATACCCAGGGACAGCCGCACTTGGAGAGGGTGTCCCAGCTGAGCTGTCTCTCTCTAGGTGGCTCCCGGGGGTCCCAGAATGACACGTGGTCAACGACGCAGGCCTGGTGCTTCTGCCCCAGGGACGGGGTCTGGCAGCCCATCGCTTCCATGCTGAGAGCCCGGACGAACCACACCAGCGCCGTCCTCAACGGTGAGATCTACGTCATCGGGGGTAAGGCTGCAAAGGGCCTGGGGGTGCTGCTGGGCTGGGGGTCCGTGGGTGCCCCCATGGGTGCCCCAGAGCAGCAGGGTGGCTGCAGTGTCCTGTCACCCCGCAGGGACAACAGTGGACGTGGTGGAGGTGGAGCGCTACGACCCGTACAACAAGAGCTGGTGTGCCATCAGCCCGGCCCTCAAGTACGTGAGCAATTTCGCAGCTGCCAGCTGCTTGGGCAAACTCTACCTGGTGGGCTCCTGCGCCGTCAAGTACAACGCGCTCACTCTGCAGTGCTACAACCCCGTTCAAGGTGAGAGCTGAGCCTGCTGCCACACCCCACCGGTGCTGTCCCTGGGAGAGGGACTGAGGGGGACCCCCAGGCAGGCGACAGCCCTGGACTGCCAGGCACGGTCCTGTGGGATGTGAGCAGGTGCTGACAGGGTGTGGTGGTGGCTGTGGTCCAGGAGCACCGGGCTCTTAGCAGCACAGACCGAGTCACTGATGTCTGACACAGCCCAGAGCTGAGCTTTGGTGGAGTGGAATCTCTGGGGCAGTGGGATGGGGAGGCTGCCTGCCTTAGGGAGAAACTAACCCCCTGTGACAATGCCACCTTCTCAAGTAGACTATTTCCCATCCCACAGCACCACACAAACCACATCCCCACCCCCCGCTATTTTTTATGCAAGATCCTCGACTGGGATGGGGACTGTGGTGCCCGTCTGCCTGGCTGGTCTGCCTCCTCCCTTCCAAATTCCCCCTGAAATAGCAATGCTTTTTTCAGCGACTGGCAGCTGCATGGAGAGCCAGGGGTGGGGTGCACTGCTAATGGCTGCTCCTTGCAGATCTGTGGAGTGTGATCACTTCTCCCTTCATCCCCAAGTACCTCTCAGCCCCACGCTGTGCCACTCTGCGCGGGCTCATCTACCTCATTGGGGATAACACCAAGAAGGTCCATGTGTACAACCCAGAGGCCAACATCTGGCAGAAGGTGGGATGTGGGACCAGGCATGATCAGCCTCCCAGGGATATGGGGATGGTGTTCCCAGCTGCTTCCCCTCAGTGCCAGCACCCCCCTCTCCCTCCTACCCACTCATCCCTTGGTTCTTTTAACTCCTGCAGAGCTGAGGATGCCCCATTCCCTCCTCCCCTGCTCCCTATCACACACGCATGAGGCACCAGAGGCCCCCAAACCCCACAGAAAGGAAAGATGGGGTAGGGAGACACATCTGGTGGGTCACTGCCCTCTGTGGTGGGAGTAGGAGGTCACCAAGGAGTCCCTGCACATCTCACCCCGTCCCTCACACAGGTGCAGCTCCTACACACACTGCATGAGAACGGTGGGATGGTGGCACTGGGTGACCGGCTCTTTGTCACCGGTGGCCACTGGAAGGGCATGGACGGGGACTACCGAGTAGAAATGGAGGTGTATGACTGCACCAAGGACCTCTGGATGCGCGAGGGCTCCCTGCCCTGTCTCTGGCTCTTCCACAGCTCCTCCTCCATCTTCATGGACACCTCCAAATGGACAGAACCTTTCCAGGGTGACCATGGGTGGTAGGAGACCCTCAGTGATGCCTGTCACCCCATGCAGCCATGGTCCCCTTTTTTCTGCTGCCTGTTCAGAGTGGTGAGTGGGAAGAGGAAAGCCCTGTGCCAGGCTGGCTGGGGCGTCAGGAGCATGTTCTCCCCCACCACTGCAGGGAAAAGGCTTTTCCTTATAAACACGCTTTGGTTAATGCTCTCTTCTTTTCATTTGTGGGTTTGTGGTTTTTTTAGAACTGCGTCCCCCCCCCCCCCCCAACCCTAAAGATTTTAGGGTATTTCAAGTCCTCCCAAAGTGTGGTTCATCCCATCAAAGCCTGACATTGCTGCTTGGGGGCAGCAGCCTGGTTTCTCTCCTGGGACACGCAGCACGCACCCCAGGGAAGTGATCCATGGCCATGGTGAAGCAGCTGGCACCTGGTTGATTCCCTGCCGGTGCGCTGACTCCCGCCCCAGCCCCGTCTCTGGCGGTACCGGTGGCAGAGGGATGGGCGAGCACAAGATGAGGCTTCCCCGCCGGCTGGGCCCACAGCCAGCACCGCTGGACGGCTCAGCTGTTTCCCCTCCGTTTGTTCGGTGTTCTCGAAGCGTTTCAAACGCGCGGCGCCGAGGAGCCCGCGGGGCGGGGCGGGCACGTCCCGCTGCAGGCTCCGCTCGGCCCACGGGAGCTTTTCCCGGCGGGCGGTGCCCGAGGGCAGAGCCCAGCAGCGAGGCGGGGCCGGGGCCGCCCTCCCGTAGCGGCGGCGGGATGCGGCTGCCGGAGCTGTGCCTGGCGCTTCTCTACGCCGCCGGCAGCGGCAGCGGCACCGAACCGCCGCGGGCAGCCCGGGAGCGGCCGCTGGCCCCGGGACGTGGGGAGCCCGGGGCGGCCCGCGTGGACCCCCGGCAGGCGTGGATGCTGCTGGCCGGGAGCCCCGGGAGGGGCAGCGGCGATCGGGGCCGCGGCGGCTCCGGGGCTCACTCGGCACCAGCGGGCCCCGGCTCGCCGGGAAGAACAAGCGCGGGTGCCGCGCCGAGCGGGGCCGGGCCCGAGGAGCTGCTGAGGGAGCTGCAGCTCCTGCTCAGAGGTACCGGGGTGGGGACAGCACGACAAGGCGAAGCAGGGCTGGGCAGCAGAGCCAGGAAAAGTGATGGTTCCCTTCCTAACGTCAGACTCCGGGGGGGGTTCGGGGTCAGGCACGGCAAAGATGTGCAGGACAGCTGGGGAAGGGCGTAAGGAGGAGGAAAGCAGCAAAGGCAGCCCCCAGGCCGGGGCCCAGCGTCGTGTGGAAGCAGCCTTCCATTGCCAAACGCGAGAGGACATCGCTGTGGAGCAGAGGACGTGGCAGGAGCTGGGGCTGTTCTACATTGTGAGTGCCCAGCCTGCCCCTTTTCCCCGTCTGCAGGGGCACCTGCCCTGGCACAGGGACTCCTCCTCTAACTCGAGCCGTTCCCTATGCCAGCCTGAGAAGGAGAGGATGTTCCACCGTGGCCCAGGGCTGAACCTGACCAGCGGGCAGTACACAGCCCCCCTTGCAGGATACTACACCTTCAGCACCACGCTGCACATCGGTGAGCCCTCGCACAGCCCCGCGGCCCTGCCGGGCCAGGCTGGGATGGCCTCACCCCCTGCTCTGTCCCAGCGCGCAGGGAGCTGCGGAGAAAGAGGCAGGGATGCCGAGGGAGCCGCCTGCGGGTGCTGGTCTGTGTGCAGTCCTGCTGCCAGCACAACAGGTATGGCCAGGGCCGGGGAGGGGGCTAGTAGCCCAGCATCGCTGGGAAAGGAGGGGCCTGCTCCTCCCGCTACTGCCCTTGCTCTTCTACAGCCATCTGGAGAGCGTATCCCGGCTGGAGAGCAGCGGGGACCTTTTCACCATCTCTGTCACAGGCACCCTTTACCTGCAGGTGAGTGGGGCCAGCTCCACTGGGACAGTGCTGGGCAGGAAGGCCCAGGGCTGGGCATCAGGTCTGCCTCAGGTGACCTCCAAGCCCCAAAACCAGTCAGGGCAGAGCTCTGCTGGGGCACTATGGCACAGACAAAGGCCTGTGCTGCTCTTTTCCCAGAAGGAAGGGTAGGGGCAGCTCCTCCAGCTCTTGTTGCTGTGTGCAGGGGAGAGCTCTCTCCTTGGCCCTGCCAGGCCATGCCTGGAGCCCAGGGGAGGTGTCCTGGCCCTGCTAATCCCTCTCTCCCCCAGGCTGGGCAGTATGCCTCTGTTTTTGTGGACAACACGGCAGGCTCTCCCCTCACCGTTCAAAGTGGCTCCGATTTCAGTGCTGTGCTGCTGGGAGTGTGAAGAGGCTGAACCATGCTGAACCTGTGCCAGGAGCAGCCAGACCCTTCCCTCTGCTCAGCACCAAGCCTAAGGAAGACCATTTGCTCATGCAGGAGACTGCAGTCTGGTCCGATACTGCTCGTGCTGCAGAACCAGCTGAAGATGGACAAAAGATCATGAAGAAGATGATGATAACAATAAAGCAGCCTGAGCAGGACCTAAAGGCATTCACTTTTATCTAAAGGCTAGGCCTAGAAGTTTATCTTGGAAAACACTGCTGACTGGTAGCAGATGGCTGCCTAGGGCTCAGCTCCCACCGTGCCTGCTACAAAAGCCCACATGTCCAATTTTTGCCCTTAGTGGACTTCCCTTCCCTGCCCAGACTCCCTCTCAGCAGCCCAGGCCAGATCATGCATTGCTTTAGCTCCCTCAGAGTGTGAGCAGAGGGTTTGCTGGCAGGAGCCAACATCCTTCGCGCTGATCATCAAAGCAAAGTCCCAACAACGCCGCACGTTGGATCGAAGCAAATTCCTGCCCTGTGACTCTCCAGAGCAGGCACTCCCTGCCTGTGGCACAGGGCCTGGCTGTGGCAGCCCAGATAGAGCCCAGCTCTTTGCTCTGGCTGTGATAGCTGCCTGGGCTCAGCAGGGCCGCCGGCCTACGTGACGGAGCCGGGGCTGCAGCAGAAGCACCGGGAAGGCTGAGCGTTGGATTTCCGAGTAGCACTTGGTGCTGGGTAAGTGGTGCCAGCAACTCTGCAAGATAGCCTGAGCTAACAGCCCCACCTTCTCCCAGGGGTGTCCCTGGCCCTGCCTGCCCTTCTCCAAGGGCTGCATCTCCTTGAGGAGCCTGGTGAAGGAGCTGTTAATGCAGTAGTTTAGGTAGGGGTGTTTGGGTCTGGAAAAGGGGGGAGGCTGAGAAGGGAAAGAAAGTTACCTTTCTGAAATTTGCCATCACTGTTTATTTTGCCACAAACAGAAGCAACTCCATGCTACTCTGTCTGGGCTCTCCAAATTTGCCTTTCAAGAGTAGAAACAGGAGAGTGTGCTGCTAACAAGGCATTCCCTGTCAGCTCATCCTGCACTGCAGCCTTACATCAAAATACACAGGAATGGCTAGGGGCAGAACAAGCTGGCAGAGGACCAGCACTACCCAAAATCTGTGCCAGAAAGAGCCACTTCCTTCCTCAGTGCTTTGCAGGGGATGCAGAGAGTCAGTGTGCACCCCCAGACCAAACCCATTAAGTGTACTCACTACTGCTGGAGCAGAAATAGAAGGTGGTCAAGCCACCTGTCCCAAACAGGACAGCCATCATGTGCTCCAGCAAACAACTCAGGGGCTGGGACCAAGTCCCAAAGTTCCAGGGATACAGAAAACAGAAAGGAGGCAGGGAAGCCTCACTGCCCTGCACAAAACAGCAGGCACCACCCTGCCCTTGCCCCCCTCCCCAGGGACTACAGCTGTGCCTCATCAGAGCAAAGAGGCAACCACAATGCACACCCCTCAGCCCACCTCCCTCCCTGCCCCCTCACACACAGGGTGGGAAATCGAAACTTCAGGGCTTAGGTAGCTGAATCCATTTAGCTTTCACTCTTGTCATTTGGTCTTAGGCCAGATTTTCTCTGGAAAACAGCACACTGACTGCAGCAACAGCTGGTAGAGGCACTGAGACAGGATGAGACACCAGACACTAATTAGTACCTAAAACCTGAGATGCCTTCTCCTCAGATAGCACAGACAAGCACAGAGCCCGCCTGCAGCTCAGCTGCCTTTTCACCAAGTCCATTTGATAAAAACACTTCTTCCAAAAAACATCAGGAGCAAACTCCAGCCGCTTTTTCCATAGCAGCATTATGGTACAACTACAACATGTTCTGCAAGGACAGGGCAGGTATGCTGCTGCTCTGCAAGGGGTGTTTGTGTCCCTCAGCTGCAGGCAACCTCACAGCCCAGCTTCAGAGTCAGATTTCCCACCCAGTGTGAAGAGGACAGCCCACACCACATCCCAAGCTGGTGGCCTGGAGCACCTCACAGTCTGGCACAGCCTGTCAGAGTCCTGCAACTCCAGACTCTTGCAGGGCCTTGCACACAGCTCAAGGATGTGGACAGCAGAACAGAATATGCAAATTCAAACAGCTGGCAGAGCTCATGCCCCCAGACGCCTCCTGCTAGCACCCCTGCCAAATGCATTCACCGCCTTCGCCACGACATTCAACCCTAGCACTAAGTGAGCTAAACCTGTTAGAAAAAAAACCATCTTTATTTACACTGCAGAGCATCCAGCAGGAGCCACCCTCCCCCAGGCACACAGGCATGCACAGAGCCCAGCCCAGCCCGCCCCTCAGTGCTCTATCCGGACCAGCATGACGGTGACGTTGTCGGCCGAGCCGCGCTGCACCGCCTTGCTGGCCAGCCTGTTACACGCGGCCTCGTAGCGCGCGTCTGCCTCCAGCCTCCCTTCTCTCGTCTGGATGTTCTTGTCCTGTTGGGACACAGCAATTTCACTGCTCCCACCAAAGGTAGGATTGTGTTTTCCAAGCACTGGGAAGCAAAATAAATGCACGCGACCCAGGGAATAACAGAGGACACTGTGGCAGAAGTCCATTTCGTGCCCCCTGCACTGACAAACCCAGCCCCCAGGCCACTTCTCCTCACCTCCAGGCAGGACACAATGAAGTTCACAGCTTCTTCTGGTGTAAAGACTTTAAAGAGGCCATCACACGCTATCAGAATGAACCTGGAAATCAAGTGGAGACAGATCCCAAGGCTGAATTTTTGGCTCCTCAGCTACAACAAAATCACTCCAATCTATTTTATGAACCTCCATGCTTGGATGCAAAGGGAAGATGCTGTAAAAGCTCATCTGAAAATCCCTTGGGACCTACCGTTCGTGGCAATTCAAAATACAGGACAAAGAGTCAGGCAACCAATGTAAGACCTTGATCAGGACATCCTGGCTGTGCTACAACACTAGCAAGATCATATATGATCCTGGTCAAATATTCCATTTTTTCTCTAAGAACTGCTTCTTTCCTTTGAGTCCTTTTTATTAATGTATTTTCCCTGTGAAGCAGCTAATGCAAGGAAATAGAGAAACAAGGCTGAACCCCTCATGTACATCACTTTACATTTCTACACTCCCGAGGTATGTTGTAATTTAAATATGCAAATTCAAAAGCAAATCACATGACAACAGTGAGCAGAAAACTCTGACACTAAATATTGCCACAGGCTGCAGAAGGTTAAGGAGATGCAAAGCTCAAGGCAAGGGCAGCACCCCCCTTAGGATGGGGAGACAGCCTGCTGTGCACTCCTGCCTGCACAGGGAATTTAATTAACCAGGAGCCCTAACCAGAGTCAGCAGGACAAGGAAAACTACAACAAACCTACAGAAGTGGTCAGTCTGCACATGCCTCTGAAGACATCATTTCAGTGCATGATACTCAAGAGTATCTTTAGAAATATTTTAGTGGATCACTTGATATGGAACTCTAATCCCAGAAAAAGCAGCAGTACTGGGTTACACTCACCTCTGAGAGTCTGCAGAGCCATACTGACACAAAAGCTCACTGCAATTTGTCGTTGCCAATCATACCATGGAAAAGTATCTCAAATCTTCAAATATCACAGCTGAATGCAAAAGTATTTATTGGCACCACAGCTGCTAAAAACAACTCCTAGACAGAATGGAGACCCAAGAACTCAAGTCTCAACTCCCTGCCTGAACACTGTTTGTGATTAAGTTTGTGATCTTAATCAGAGCAAACACCTAAGGCTTGTGTATGCTATTGCTATGAGGCTGGTTCCTCCAAGAGGAGCCTTCACAGCATCTTGGCAGAGCAGCACGTTATCCCACTGCTCTCATAAGGAACAGAAGCAGAGAGACAGCAGCAGTAAGAGCATCCATCCTCTGATTCTGTGGGGATCAGTCTGAAGTGCCTTGGCTCTCACAGCAGAGCAAGCAGGGTTGTGCAGCTTCTGCTGAGCTGGGACAGAGAACCCCCCGTGCAAGGGCACACTTTACCTGTCATTGTGTGTGAGTTGGCAGCGTTTGATGTCTGGCACAGAGATCACACCACAGCGCTTGTACTGGCCATCCCCAATGGAGCGGGAAACCTCCAGCACTCCCAGGACTCTCCCGTCCCTGCACAAGGAAAGAAAGCACTCAGAGCTCTCCCCACGTGTACATTTCACTGCACTGCCTGATGGGGACATCGTGCACCCGTCTGCTTGTACAAATAATGACCCACTTCCCCAGCAAGTTCAAATATTCCCTTGAAAGTCTCCTTCCCTTTCTGTATGTTTGTGTGAAGCTGTGGGAAACAAGTGGAGGAGGAGCAAATGAAGTCAGGAGACTTCAAGGCAGTTTTCTGTCACCCTGCCCTAACTCAAGTCCTGCTTAGCCTAGCAAACTGGGACAGTAAAATTATACGTGAGCTTAACTCCCGGTGGCATAGTTTGAATAGAGATTATTTTTTGGCAAGATATCCAGCAAGCTGCTCTTCACTAGAAGCACAGAGTGGCAGAGGCAAGAGGTCTGAGTCAGCAGCCCCTCCTGTGTCCTGTGTGAGGACACCAAGCCCTACAGCCTGGCCCAGCTGCAGGCAGTTCCCAGAGTGACAAACACGGCATGTTCAGCTCCTGATCACTTGGCCTTTAGTAACCACTGATTGCAGCAAGCAGTTTCTGTGAAACCTACATGACAGCACCCCTTAGCAAACACCTCTGGGCTGTCAAGCTTTTCTAACTAACCAGGCTCCCTAGAGAAACAGCTTCCCACACTTCACCTTTCCAACAATCAAGCATCTTCTCCCCAAAAAGGCTCTTCTGTGCCCTCTGAGAATACACAAAGCTCATTCATCTCGTAGTCCAAGCAGCCCCGCTTGAGATAAAAGCAAGAAGCAAGGCATGTCACAGAGAAGAGATCTGACACTCACACACTTTGTGGCTTATCTCTTGGGCCCAAAATATTGAACTGCAAGCAATGGGAGAGGCTGCCAGGCAGTCAGGGACCAGTTCTGAAAGGAGCTAACAGACACTGGGCCATCTCTTTGCCATGTGCAAAGAGAGATCAGTGCTGAGTGTAAGTGGCAGCATGTGCTCCCCAGAGATAAGGGGAACAAAGTGCTCCAGACACAGCAGCATAACAGAACTGAGCCCACCCCTCTCCACCCTGGGTGCATTTTGCTTCCACAGGCATGAAGATACTTCAGCTGCACTGAATCCCCTCTTTGTGAAGATG